TGTCAAGGTCCACAGATAAGCAAGGCGCAGTTGTACGTGGCAGAGAGTGTTATTGCTACGAATAAGGATGAGCAGAAATTGGTTCCAGATAGGCTACAGGCATGTCTTGAGACGCACAGCTCAAAATTTAAGTATGTGGGAACAATACTAAGGAATATGAATCGGATTCGTTATGAAATTAAGAGAAGATTAAATCACGGAAATTGTTATCATGTATTTCGTAAATTATCGCGTCGTATACTTCCTAAAAGAAGATCAGGAATTCAAAACAATAATTTTACCGTTTGTTTAAAGTGACTTGAACGCAGACCCCTTCTTTGAGAGAAGAACATAAACATCAAGTATTTGAAAATAAAGTTCTTACGAAAACACAAATATTTGGACCTAAGTAAGAGATAGGACAGCGATAAGATGATATGGTGGCAAGAAATGCATACAGAATTTTTATGAGGAAACCTGCTGGATAACTCCCGCTTCGAAGACCAAGAAGGATAATATTAAGATGGATAAGAGGGAACGAGTTGTGTGGTTGGCAGGCATATGGAAATGACCCAGGATCTGTTCAATGCCAGGCTTTATAAGCAAAGTCGAATCTTTCGGGTTCTCCTATCACAGATAGCTAGTCTAAGACGTGTCTGAGATGGCAACTCGGTTAATTATGTTTTTAAATGTGACCCACCGAATACCAGTCAACAGTTAATCTGCTTGATTTCTAACTCTTTCTTCCAATGTTTTATAAGACAGTGAATACCCTACGTATGACTTCCTCCAAGTCTATTTCAGACCTACATAATAACGATTCATACTTTGATATTTAACCGTTAAGTACACAGGTTAGACAAACAAACTTGGTATATAAATTCTGATATTAAAAAGCGTGTAATATCCAAATTGTTCTTTTGGTCTTTAGCAATAGTCTAAATCATAAAATAATAAAACTACAACTTTTCGAAAGCTGTATCTGCTTCGGTCTTCAGGTAAGATTTTTTTACCCTTATCGTCTGGGGCCCCTGGTTGAGCTAGCAGGCCCGAAAAGTCGCAGCTTTAGACGACGGACAAAGTAGAAAATAAAAACAATTGTACATATAAAACGCGCTATCGTCAAAAACCTTAAGTCTTCGATTAAACGGCTTCTGCAGTATGTAGGATCTGTGTTTCGATTTGAACTGAGCATGTTCAGAGTACGATGTAAATGGCCGTAACGGGAGCATATGGGCAGGCATACAAACAGGGTCGCCATCATGTTTCCAGTTACCACCACTGGCAATGACAACTTGCGGTACAAACATATTTTCAAAAGCGCACGTTTGTAGGTAAATGACCAGCTCATAAATCCGCCACATTAGAACGGCGTTAAAAATATTTTAAGGAAAAATCACTAAGTTCTTACTTACATTGTATGTAGTAACAGAGGAAACACTGGAGACAGTTGCATGACTGTCCTAGCGAAGGTGTGATTGTCGTGGAGGCAGATACGGGCTTTGTATGGAGGAATGTGAAGTTGGCAGTGAAAGTTGGCAAGTGCTCATAGAGCTCTGAAACAAAAGAACGTCAGACCAACATAATAGTATAATTTCACTCTCAGCAGCGTATCCTAGCAACCGAAGAAAGGCAAACATTCCCTATCTAATTAACAATTCAAGGAATATCCTTCCTGGCATCTAAAAAGAATTAACAACAGTTACATTTTAACAGTACATTTCAGGTTGTCATTTTCCCTTAAACACATCATCAACTACCAGACTTTCAGATTACTATTTCTATTCAAATGCATAATATGCGAGGCAAACGTGATAACAACTATAGAATTTATACGAGTTTCTTGATGGGCACATTAGTCTTACAGGCGTTACTTATAGGCAAGTCTAGTACGGACTTCCACGAGTTGAAGATACAATGGAAGAGAATTCCAACCACTTCAAAGCTGTCAAAAATTTAAAGGTATCTTAGCAACAACACAGATTGATATATATACACATATATGAATTATAATTTCGGGGGACTTATTTGCTATTTTGCATATACCATTAATTTTTGTGTATATTTATCGCAACTACAAATCTGCTGTTGAGATTACCCACACAACAATGTACGAAGTCAGAAAGACGTTTATACAAGACGAGCCATTTCCGATAAAATCGGTAAATTTGTTATGAGTTTCGCGTAAAATTAGTTTTAGGGCAGATACCATGAAAATTAAATTCGTTTCACGGTGTTGTTGTTTCCGTGCATCCGAGATGTAACACGCGAACAGATGAATGCTAACTCATATGTAAATGCTACAATCCAGTCACGCATTCCCCCCATGCTCCACACAACTGTTGAGATCTACTTAGTTCTACAATAACAATGATGTCCCTCTCATGGTCTATATTACAGGTTATATGGGCAGTCTCAAACTTTAAAAAAAATGAAGTGTGGAGCACCCACAGACCGCGAAAAATATTGAAATAAATCTACGAGCACGACAATAAAGCATCTCGCACTGTAAGAAGAATAAAGATTTGTAATCTCTCACTTTCTGCTGTTATCACTTGTCCCACTCTAAGCCGACTTCATCACAACGGCTGGATCATTTCCACGACCTCATCTCCTCATGCATTAGCATTAAAATAAGCTACATATTACACAATGACGTGCCCTTCACGTCGCGCACTAATTGACAAACAAGACCTTTTTTTCTGAAGCCTAGTATTAACGTGCTCCAATTAGAACAAATCTGTTCATGCAATACGCAGAAAATAATTAATTCCATATTAAGATACCAGGAATTATGTTTCCTGTGCAGCGTTAAGTTCCTCTTACGAAACATGTTAAACTGGATTAACTATCGCGGCGTTTATTATCCCGATCCAAATCTCGACCCAGAAACAAGCTCCCCTGACTGAGGTTCTTCGTGATTTTCCTTGTTTCTTCCACATCTATTCTAATTCATTACACATTAATCACTTGACGCTACACGTGCCTGAACAAGTGGCAGGTCGTTAAACCATAAATGAGTAAAATACAATAATAAACTCAACTTCAAAAGCAGTATAAGTTTACATACGAAACTATGTTAAAATCAGGACAATACAAAGAACATTCCAATGAAATTAATAAGGTTAATAATGTAACGATGTCCCTGTGCCTAATCACCTCGCCATGATGACGTGTTGGGGAGCGAGTGTTACGCTCTATGCATTCTTATCAGCAGCATTAGAAGGAGGTGGGTGGTGAGCTTCACGCTCTGGCCGGGTTACCCCCGGTACCCACTGGATAGGACACTGGGTGGATACATCAGCCTGTCTCAGCGATGTACCAAAAAGAAAAAAAGTGCCTGCCGGTAATCGAACTATAGATGTTCAGGTAGCAACTTTACTGATTGACTAACAATAACGATATAATGATCCGGGAGCAACGCTCCATCTTGTACACGCTAGTGACGAGAAGCATCTTCAGGCTGTCAATTAATGGAAGTAATTGCCAAACACGAATGCCGTTCAACGACTCGAGGTTGTTGACATACGCTGTCTCGGAAGACATGACCCGAATGAAGAAGGGCCACTCGTCCGGTCGACTGACGTGCTGATTGTAGATAGGTGTTACCAGCGGTTGATTGCTCCTGGACTTTCGTAACAGAGGGTTTTCCGAAGAGGCTGATGGTGTCATAGCTTTCCTTCCTTCTTCATTTTATTTTCTGACTGCAGAGTTCTCATAACCGTCTTTCACGCATCACAGTGAATAAAAATTATGTCCTGGGTAACATTTGCTTGATTTCAGGATTGATTACTGTGCCACTTAAAGACCTGTCATTAACAACAGACGTTGTACATGCCCAGTGAGAGTGAAATATGCTAACGAATGGTAAATAATTAATGATATTGTAAAGGGAAACATGGTCCATTTGGAAGTGTCGTCCTTGATTTAGCCGTAAGAGACTAAAGAATACACGAAAATGTCAGTCCGGACAGGTGATCATCTGAATCTGTTTAAACGCTTCGTCGGCAATTCGATTTGTGTGCACTGAGAAAGTGCAAGAAAAACCTTCAGCACAACAGACACCAACTGCACCTTTAAAATGTGAGACAAATCAACATCGACAAAGCAAAGTCTAGCTACAAGCCACGAAGAACACCAAGAACGCCTCTGGACAATATTATCACCCTAAACCTCAAAGTGTGCAGCAGAAATTCTAACCATTACTGCATGATGCTAGCAGCTTCAGACCCGAAATCGACACAATCCGTTTTAACCTTGTTCTCTTTTGACAGAGTGGTGTGAACACAAATTATTCTCAAGAGATGATTAGAATAATTAATAAAAATATCGTATCAACAGTCTGAGCGTTTGTATTATAATTGTTCTACACCCAACGGATATAAGTGTATATCAGGCAACACCTTATTACACCGGAAATTTATCATAAAATAACGCGGTGCGTGTAATATAAATAAACATTGCAGAAGATGCAGAATGATCAATTGAATAAAAATTTACTTGGATATTATCCATCGTCTAGTAAATATAAAACGTAAAACGACGTTTCGGAGATAGGGATTAGCTCTATCTAGTGGGCCCAACTGTGTAGGAACCTGAAGACGGAGATAGAGTCCCATCTCCGAAACGTCGTTTTACGTTTTATATTTACTAGACGATGGATAATATCCAAGTAAATTTTTATTCAATTGACTCTTCACCATCGTCAAGAAGTTTTAGACTTAATGCAGAATGATGTTGAGAAAGGTGCGAGTCGCGAACGGAGAGCAGACAGTGTAGTAAGTCAAAATCTCTATACAATTGCCTTGCAATTGGTGATCTGAAGTATACAAAAAAATTCGTAAATCATTTTATTTATCATTTTTATTATATCGAACAAATTATGTCCCCCACGAAACAGTACGAGTCTCCACAGTTAGTGTAATCCCACAACAGCTGTGGAGACGCCCACACAATTGGGCTGTTGACCCCTACTTGTACTGACAACAATTGTAACCCGGCTGTTTGGTGTCTGTTTCCAGGTTGGCTGTGCGTCTGTGGTCGGTTGGCTGAGTCATTCAAGAGAACTATAACTTAAGCTCTGAAAGAAGAATAACGGTGACCTGCAGTCGGTAGGTTGGCAACCCGTCATCCTCCACTGAACAAGCTAGGGGACAGACAATCCGTTGGAGGACACAGACTTCAACAAAACTCGAGCGGAAGAAAACATCAGAAGCTGGGTGGGACACGCCGCCACATCGAGACTGCGACGAGGGAATAAGAATCAAATTCAAAAGCCGTTTATAATAACTTCGGTTCATGAGGCTCCAGATTCAAAATTGCTATACTCATGTCCTTGGTTCATTTATTAGCGCTGTTTCAACAGACCTAAAAGAGGTGTAAGGATTATCATAAATCTGAAAGGAAATGGCAGTGGCCATTTTTTCCTTGGACATAATGAGAAAATGCACAAACACTCTTGATTACGAAAGTCTGTTTTCCGGTTATGATTCGAACAAGATACGTCCTACATAAAATACGCGAAACAACTAGCGACGTTACTTTGGATAGATGACACTGGAGACATTTCTCTCCCGTAGAACCCGTAACTACCGATTAGATAAAAGTTTAATCATGAAAACTGAATGAACTATTAAAACAGTGTTAAACTCAAATTTTAAACCAGCCCTGCACTTTTAAAAAAAAGTTTTATTAAATGTGTTTAAAAATGGGAATAACAAAAATTTAATAAACAAATCCGACGTCAGTCTTTCTCTAAAAGGCTTGTATAAGTGTTCGTACAATTTTAATGGCCGCAGAATTTTACTTTCGATAATCCAGACTTGTCGGCGTCATAGGCAACGATTCTAAAACAGACATTTCAACAAGTGTGGTGCACAGACAGATGTGGAATTTCATAGTCGAAGTATTGTTGAATCCTTCGGTATTACGTCTCTGCAGCCCTTGGGTTCATGCAGGCGGCTAAAGAACACTTTTTATGTAAATAAGTTAATTCAGTCTACCAACGAGAGATTCGAGTTTTCTGGTTTGCACATAAAGACTCTTGTGTCAGTATGTAAACATCTGAATTAATGCAAATTTTGTTAAAGGCATATTTAACATTTTTAGTGTAAAGATATAATGAAGTTACAGATAATATACTATTAAGAAAAAAGTCGTAGTAGTTATACTTCGTTTGAAACAACCATGGAGTCGACTTTAACACATGCAGGCCAGTTAGCAACAAATTGCTTGCCCCTATTGGCAGCAAATCATGGGGGCTCCTGCTACCGTGTTGATGTCATGTGCAACATGCAGTCAGGAAATCGTTAAATTTAACTGAAGTGAATTTAAGTAAATAAATGTCACTGGGATAGTCACTGGTGGTTAAATATGAAAAATCCTCGCAAATCCTTTGTTATAACTGTTGGCTCATTATAAACTATGTTTTCCTCCTGTGCTTGTATTCACTCCACAGACAACACGAACGAAGTACAGCTATGTGCGTATCTAACAATGTAACTATGGTACTACAATAACCACAATTATTGCTAAATGTCATTATTTAAACAGTGTACATTTTAAGGCATAACATGAAGACTGCTGTGCTGATTATCTTTAAAGTTTTGTGCTTATAGTAAGTATAGAATGTTACAGCAGAAACTCTTCTGGTGTGTAATCATTCTGTTAAGACTACGTAATCACGATGTAATTTTAGCTGCATTACAAACATGTAGGTTATCACTATCTCAGTGCTAAGGCTCTTCACTACATAAAAATGTAATATGTATTTTGGATATTGCTCAAGTATATGACATCGTTCATAACAACATGGAGTTGTATATTTGGATGTTGATGAAGTTATTAATAGATTATTAACTTTCGTGTGGTTTAGTTCTGCCCTAAACTCAACTTATTAGTTGCAATACAGAATAAAAACATATAACCAATGAAGTGCCATTTGTCAAATAAAATTCAGAGTTTGTATAATAGGGCAGATCACAAGTCAGAGAATTAGTTAATAAATGTACATAAGTATATTATTTTTGTAAAGAATTTAGTTTTACATATAATTAATTTTTAAAATACTCTGTGCTACTTAATATGCATTTAACGACTATTTACAGCAATAATTTCCATTCATGAGAAACGATTTTAAATCAATGCTATACGTGAAATAGTCAAAGCATTTGTTATATCCGAAGAAAGCAGTATAATACTGAGTAATTATATGTTTCAGAGATATAATAAATGTATTCACTTATTAAATATCACAATTTTGAACTAGTGCAGTTACTTATAGTTAAACCACAAATTTTTATAGTATTTTAAACTTAACTCGGGTATAAGCAGATGAAGTCAACGGATGGTGTATCGAGACTTTACTGCACAAATTACGACATACTGTCACGAAAAGAAAATAGGAAATTACTTTAAATATGTAAAAATCAGTACTAATCATAAAATTCTGTAATTAATATAATATACAATATGCGACTGCATTTTACTGTTATGACTCATGTTCATTATGTTAAATAATTAGCAGCTATTATAAAAGAAGATAGCAGCATGTTTGGGGAAATATGTATTTTTGTGTTATGTGCATTTTACAGAGAAGAGAACGAATGGACATGTGTAAATATGCTAAATAAATACCGATTATCATTAAATTTCTTTGTGTTGACTCTTTAAAGCAAGAAGCTGGTCTAGATTATAATTTATTAAAACATTCTGTTTCTGCTTCAAGTAAAACACTGCATGTTTCCCTCATAAATATGAAATGGTTAACACAGTTCAAGGGAGCAATCGCTAGGTTTTGTGAGGCACACTCTGTTATAAAGAGTCGAAGACCTATCACACTTTCTTACGCGTTTCCAGGGCAGCAGCTACCACAATCAGAGTATTCCTATATTACGAGAGACAACCGAAGTGCGGGCAGCTGGACATCGATGTCGTTACCATGACCACGAAGACAATTGAAAAGCAGCCTCAAGAATGGAATCGAGGTAGGGCACAACGTCTGCTTGTTATTCCGCAGACAGTAGAAGGAAAAACTGGACAACTTATGAGGAAATACCTGGGCACGTTATCAATTTACAATCTACAGTGGCAAACCTACAACAAGCTTCCCTAGAAGAAACACACAACAGATATAACATGAGAGTATCAGATTCGGCATCACGGGCTTAAATGACACCTAACATTGCAATAAGAACTGATGTGTGACGGCGTGATCAGCCTAACTGATCGGCGAACGTGAAATGGACTCAAATAGGCCGAGTAAAAGCAAAATTTAAAAATCGTACAGACAAACTCAAGTACTGAGTGTCACTGAAGAAGCTCATCAACCGCGACATTTTAGATTCGTCATTACAACCTTTGTCTTCCATTTATTGAACACGACAGCCGGAATAATTCAGTCGGCTACGGGCTGGACGTCCGCGGTTCAGTTCCCGACAGACGTAACTGTATCTTCAACTTCTGTTCACAAACCTTATAGTTTTAAAAATCCCTTCTTTTCACACAGGATTCAGACAAGCGTTCATCGTTACTCTTACTTCGACAGACAGGAGATATTGAAAATCCGCACGAAGATGAGATAGTCCATTATGGGGCACAGCCAAGACATCATGTGGCTTCGATTGGCCTTGGTATTTCATGCAGAGACATTTGAAACGGTAGTCGAATGTTCCATAAACTCGCCGAATAATAATTCTATGACGTTGGCGCTCTTGGGGTCAAGTTTTAATCCCATTGTAGTGTAAGACTAATTACGGAAAGATGCACTCAAGTGCCGAACACATGTTTACACTAGGAAATTTCCTGAGATTTAAAAAAACCGTAGTCACCTGAGAGTGTTGTTTGAATCTAGAGGCCCTGTGGTATGCCAATGACATAGAGTGGAAGGAGATGTCCAGGTTAGGCCAGGCAGACAGGTAGGGACCCCTAAGGGCGTACAAAATAACAAGATTCCAACACTGGTTCACCTTCGAGTCTACATCACTCTGCCCACCACCGGATTCCAACAACGCCAGGACGCCGTGGGGTTCGGCTAAGGAACGCGTTGGGCCTCAGACAGGCCTCACACACACACACACACCGCAGTGCGCTCAAACCAAACATAAATACCCCGTACACTTGACAACTGAGATATCATGTGTCATTTGAACATGTGACACCGAATCTGATATTGCCATGTTAGACCTATTGTGTGTTTGATCTGGGGACAGTTGTTGGTTTGCGAACGAAAATATACCAATTCCTTCACACATACCTCACGACTTCAACTTCATTGATCGCAAAGAAAATAGCACTGCTGTAAAGGTAATAGTTTATTCTAGTTTCGTTAAATACATACCACAACGAAACATATTTCAAATAAAAGTTGCAATGCTTAATAAGTACTGTGTTATGTACACATTTTGTATACAATAAGGCCTTCTGAGAAAATCTGTAACGTTCGATTTGTACATCGTGTAGAGTGGTTACAGTGGAGTATGTGAGAGCGTCTGGTGATATCTCACACCGCCTTTCACCGTTCAGTAGTTTCAGGAAATAAGTAAGGGGACACAAACACGATCTCCCCAAAATGAGTTCATTTTATATTCTTCGAGCAAACTATTTACAATAAGCAGCCAACTAAGTAATGAGACTGCTAACGATCAGATACTAAAACATGTAACTACACCAAATAAGGCGATTATGTGAGAAAAACTTGTATTCGGGTAACCCCAAATTCGATTCTCTGCCTGGACCGAATATATTGTTGCTTCCCTCTGTCCGCCCGGGTAAATAAATCAATCCACTTTGAAAATACGCAACGACTACTTCCATCCACATCCTTCTAAATTCATTACTCAAAATAATCGTTCCATTTTTCGTACGTGATATAGAGTAGTTGAACGAACCAAGGAACAGCTAACCAACTATGTAGGACTGCGTTGCTTACTTAACGAACTAACCAAGCAATTGCACACGTGACTACTTTCTACAGTGCCACTTCATCCAACAAGAATCTCACTTCGAGTCATCTGGGAATGAACCCAGGTCACAACGGACAGAAGCCATCTTCTTGCCACCTGATGTACGGATTGGCCGACTAACTGAGTAAGTTATGAAGTTGTGGGTAGATTCTCACAAAACAAATACGGTTTCATTACTTAAGGTAGACCTACATATTCTTACTTGGTATCTTAATAAAACTTTATCATTCACGTATTGATGAGTTGGTTCAATCGTTTCAAATGCTCAAATTATCTAGCTTTGCATGAAATGAGAAAATTATCATACATGATAGGTAGCAAAGAACTTGAGGTATCCTGCTATTAGCCTCTACAAAATGTGGCAACAAAATAAACGTAATATACGACAACCAAAATCCCGATCGAGATTCGAACCGAACATCTCCCACTACCGCCACATTAACCTACTCAGTACCAAGATATCCCCATGAATAATGAGACATGTCGTACTGAACCCCAGCCTACGCGTTAGTAACGAGATTTCTGAGCGATATTTCACGTTCTCACGGCGGTCACTATGAAGACGACAGCCTTCTGGGATGTTGCGTCGTTCAGGTGGAGGAAGTACACAATTCTGAAACGTCGGACAACTGCACAGTGTAATACCCCGGAAGGCTGTCATCTTTACACATGATTTTTGAACGAGCTCTACGAGATGACGCAACAATACCGGCAGCCATGAGCTGTAGCAATGACAATGCAAACCTATCCTACTTGAAACGATGAACAGTAGATGGCACTCAATTACGTATGTTCAGGGTATAGTGACTTCTCAGTTATATCCATAGACAGCGCAGTTAATACAATTCCTACGTTAGAACGAAATTAATTCTAGTCCCCGTTCACAGATGGCGCAAAAGCATAGATTTTCCTATTATTCTGATACTGAATTTTTATTTTATCTATAGGTAGCGTTATAATGTTTACCCGAGACCATCATAAATATATTTGCGGTTTCCCCCCAAATTTTATCAAAAAACCTTCAATTTCTGCCACTGCAATTGCTGCCACAGGGCAACTGCAAGGAAACATCATACAGACACTACGTGAAACGAGAATTCAGGTTCTCAAGACTGCGAGGATGAAGATGACCGTCTTCTCAGACATCCACCGTGCAGTCTGGAAGAAGCTTACCGACGTTTCAGAGGTGCTTACTGCCTCTATCATGTCACTCATCGCTCTGATGACAGAGAAAGGAAGCATATCCGAAACGTCGGTAAACGTCCACGGCAATTGTGCACAAGGGCAAGCTACACAGACAGGGGAAACTGTCTCCATCTACCTTTTAAAAGTCTGCATGTTAAGAATCCATGCCAGTTCATGGCCGCCATCAGATACAATTCAGTCAACCTTTTCAGCTATGACGTTGCGGTAAGCCACTTCAATCCAAGATGAACGTGCACAAGAGAATCTGTATGATCTCACCCTAAACCAGTTCAGTCCAGGTTCACATTCACAACCCTGTTAAGACAACATCCCAATTAAATTTCAACCAAGCTACGTCTTTACAACCTATTTTTCTCCGTCCATAACCGTAGACATTATAATCCAGAACGCTTTGATAGTTAAAATTAAATGCGATATTCTAAGACCGTTAATTCGAACACACACAAGCGACGGAACACATACTGTGAACAGCTGTTTGGGTGCACTCCTTAAACCAATTTGCGCACCGCTCAGTGATATCGAAGTGAAAAGTGGATTACAGTGGCATCAATTAGAAGACGTACTGTCGCGTTAACTCTATTGTTCTTGTTGAATGTAAAATACTGCAATGTTTATGGAGTAAAAATACACACGAAGAAAGCATTCTTCTCTGTGAAGGAATGTGTATTGAAATTCTAGAGCCGTTTGAGATGCAAGCCTTGGTCTTGCGAACGAGCTTAGACCGCTAATATAATCATTCATGATTTTTCTCTGTGGTTCGACGTTGTTCTGTGTATATGTACAGATCATGCGGTGCTTTGATCTCCGTGCAATGAGCAATGTTTGACTGGATCTATAAAGAGTCTCCTTATTTATAGATCCCTAGTGCATTCCCATCCCCAGGTTCGCAATTATCTTAACAGAATTTACTTTCTGTACCATCAGGAATATTTCATACGGTGTGTGGAAGAAATTGTATAAAATATAAGTACTTATAAGCAACATACATGACAAGAATTGAAAATTACAAATTTGAAGATGCCCTTCGATTTGAGGAACTTTTCAAGCGTCATTACTAAGCCGTCAGATGCTGTAGTACCACGCTATTTGCATGTTTCGCTTCAAACTCAACAGTAACACACTTTCCTTTATGTTTTCTCCCCCCGGAATTTTCCTGCAGGGACTGAGGAAAATCACGAAAGCCTCAGTCAGAAAAGCCTTCTCCAGGCCAAGACTTAAAAAACCGGGACCTCCCGAACACAAAGCAGGACACGTTCGCTCCATCTTCTGTTTTAATATCCTGTAAATGTACGGGCTGTGTCTCAGAAACGAGGCACATTGTTTCGCTGTAGCAGGCCTACAGATGGAACCGAAAGGTGACCAGTACGAGCAGTCACGAGAACCGGTTGTTTGCTTTTGGAACGCTGACATGCAGACAGAACTGTTCCTCCTGCAAGACGCTGCCTACCAGACCCCTTGCTGTTACGACGTCCAGCTGACGGCTCTGCTGATCCTCTGTATTACGGTACATTCGTCTCACAGAGGATCGCGAACCACGGACAACACATCATTTAATGATTATAGATGGTAGTCTTCTCACGTGGTCTCTGAAGATGGAACCCGTACATTTCTCCGAAACGTATGTATGCAGCCAAAATACCACACGGCACAACAACACATCTCCTTACGATCAATCACCATGCCATGAAGGTATGTAGTGAGCGTGGAGGTTAGCTCCGCGAATTCTTAACACTGACCCGAAATGGGCTGTAGATGAAGACAGTATGTTTCTCCGAATCGTTAGTTATCTACATATACGTCAGATTCCGTGCACATCGCATTCCTGTGTGAACTTGGCATGTTAGTAAAAATCCTGAGGTTATACATTAAATGCCCCCTGCCGCTTTCAAACCACCATTAAAAGTTCCGGCCATGTGCCGGGTCAAAGATAAAACTAAGAAATTACGTACGAAATTTTAGTAACGATACAACACGTCAGGCTCCTAGCACAGAATCTTGAAACGGCATTCACAGACCCACGGAAATAAAGCAGAACCCAGATTTAGAAGCAGATATTCTGTGTTCTCTTCATTTTCCTTTACTTGCCTGTTTTTGTCAACAAAACTTCAATTATGAATTGCGGTAATACTGTTCTGACAGAAAAATGGCCAGGCAGCCGAAAACTAAACATTCACCAGGCAGTCTATTATAGTATGACGGTAAGACAGAATTTTACCTACAAGAAACAAGCTTTAATTTCCTCTGTTACATGCCCCTGAATATTTCAAGCATTAATAAGCGCCATTAGACATGAATCTCATCGTTGTAACCTCGTGCTCCTCATTTAAGAGTAACATCCATAATAGATGGTTCAACATGTTTCTGTTTGTTTACAAGAATGCATTCATTGATCGTATCAGCAACTTTCTCACATTACACATTCAGTAATTCTCAAGATCTCTCTTTGTAGTCTTCTCTGTTACGATCATTGTATCTCTTTCACAAAAGCCTAACTTGAAAACTCAATTCCACGATGAACACTTCGCCTTCATCAGCCCACATTTTCTCCTTTGCCGAACACCGCATCGCGAAGAAGCCGAGAAACGTGGTGGAGGGAGCCGGAAAAATTTCCCTCAGAACTCATCACGGAGGAGCGTCGTTGGGCCCCAGGGCCAAACTGAACAACTAGCGAACAAACAAATCGTTCATCCAACCGCGAACTAAGCTTCGATGGCTGTGTTATATGGGCTCATGCAAGTACTGCTGTCCTTGTGTCTTATCATATAGGCCTAAAGAAGAGTACAGGGGGGACAGAATTATCCTAGGAGTTCACACATTATAGACATCGGTTTTAGACAGAAGTGGGGAGTGGAAGCAACTAAGAAGGTTCGATAACTACCTTAAGTTTCCATTTACATACAAGTTTATTATAATAATTTTATTATGTGGCCATATGTTCGGACACTGTTAATGTCTCACCTTCAGGCCTTGACATTTGTTAACTTCAGTTGCTAATATATTCTATAACGTTCCAATAAAAAATTTATAGGTCTATAAAAATAAATTTGCAACAGCTGTAAACAACAGAATCATAGTTTGAACTTTAAATTTTAATGTTTTTGTAACATTTAGATTGATTGTTAACTTTAACACAAATACAAATTATATAATTAGTCAATACAAATAGACTAATAAGAATTGCAGATACTAAAAATGTAACAAATGGATACATTTGAAATCAGAATCTATGTGAGACTATGTAGAAACAAAATGGTCCCTTAGCGACTGAAGGGAAAAAATGTGGAAGCCTGACGATGATACATTATGAGTCGAAACATGTAGCCGTGTAATACAAGAAGTGTAGTTAGTATATCAGTAGACGAATACTAAGCTAGTTATTAATGTAAAGCAAAAAATTAGAAAAATCGATTAAAAGTTATTAAATACGTGTTTTTTTTCGAATTTTTAATCGCACCTGAAAGCCATTTTCCTTGAGTGACTTTCTGAAATTTGAGTGTATCCTTAGTCAGGACATGTCACAGGATCCAAGTGAGTTTGCTGATTTGGGTCCGGGCTCAAACCCCTGAACCTCAGTCAGTGTGTGGAACAATTATAGCAGCCCTGCAGTATTACTCAAGCTCTTATTACCAGCTGAGTGAAATACTGCCGGACTGGACTTTAAGCCAGGCAGCAGTGCGATATTTATACACGGTGAGGAGGTTCACTATCTATTGGCTACTGATACCCAGCACTGACCCAGTGGTACGTCCCCTCGACGCTTCCGGCAAGACAGACTTCTAGGTAGTGACGCCGCGTAGGTAGGTGGGTACCATAGTTGCGGAGGACCACAAATTAATGCCTGCACCTTCACGGCGTCCGTCCACGGCCGTACAAAGTCAAGCTCGAAGTTGCTCAAGAAATGCGACGCGGTTTGAACCCAGGCTTTTAAAGTCGCGAGGCCCAAACGTACCGGGAAATATTCAATACTCGACAAATGCCACTTTTGATAGCAACGTCTTTTAGAACCAGCTGACTTATTTCTCAAGGAAAACTTCCTGGATGGTGGGGAGAAACATGCAATTATGCTGATTACAGAACCTGTTTACGTAACTGACAACTTTTCGAGTGAGAAATATAGGTGACATGACACGAGTACATGGAAAAGCCAAAGCTTTAACTTGTGAAAGCAAAATTATTCAACCACGCTAAACGCTGCGTTGTTACAAAAATAAGCTGGCCAGTAAGTAGACTACTTTTATTTAAATTAAATTACGACTGGATAAGTTGTCTATGGCAGGCATTTCAAACTTGGGCTGGTTTATTTTTCAGTACGTGGCAGAAATAGTTCATGAACACAACGTAACCGAATTCTACTAAATGTGCCACCTTACAGCTGAACATTGCGCATTGTCGTCTGCGCATGCACGAAAATACTGATGAAAATACATAAGTCTTTCCTAGGGACGTCGATTTGGTCTTCTGGGACGTGATACAGAATGGATTTGAAAATTGATACAATCGTTTCGGAGAAACATAATATCGTCATCTTTAGGGATGGTTTAGTTAGTTATAACTTCAAACAATAAAACCAAATTGATAAAATTCTGCAGCAGCATTTTAAATTTCTCCAGAATTGCTGGTTTTTGGAACCAGCGGTGTTTGTAGCAACATTCTCTAGTTCATTTCCACTTTAACAAATGCACGATTAACAATACTTCAGACAGTTCTCCAGAACTCAGGACCGAAAGGATATTAATGACAGATGGATGCCACGTGATTTGACTACTGGCCGGACAGGACATCTAAAAACCATTACCGCAACAAAACAAGACCGCTATATTCACTTTTCGAGCATATGCGTGTATGTTTGAACTGAGTAGTGGCATTTTCTGTACTGCTGTTCTAGCAGTGCTCCTCTGAAGCATGAAGACGACCACTACCAGGCAGCAAACTCTCCCTTTTTCCGACCATGAGGCAACAACCCGTCAAAGCATTTTTTCAATTGTCCAATTATGCAAGGAGATACCACTTCACAGAAACTGGATGTGGTGTCTGAAAGATTGTTCGGAACGCACTAATCTATCTCACCACGTCCTTTCAAAACTGATTCTCAGTTCAGCTTGAGTTCAATAAGCTTGTCTGCCCGAGTCATAAGATTTAAATCTGGAAGTAGCCAATGAGACAAGGCTCGCTTTCGTTCTTCCCTCCTTCATGCACCCCTGGTCACCGTCACATTGCCCCCGCACGCACCAGACAATGAACATCTAATTTCATATCTCTTACGTACAAACACAATTACTAAAACATAACAAATTTCACCAAGTTTCTATGCCTTTATACACACAGCACAAATAACAGAACTGCTCCTCTACAACATTTTATTTCATTTTTCTAGGGACCCTACTATTCTGGGTGAGCGATATACGACGTTCCGACGCCTGGCGTTGTCTCAAACTTCACATAAACGGAGCCTAGACAGTGTAGCCCGTTAAAGAAATCTATTCCTTGTCACTATACACTGAAACATATCATGGGTCTGTACTGGATTTGTAAAGCAATAACACAGAAATACAACTATCACGTAGCACTAAACTTGTTAAAAAGTCGGAATAGTACAATCAGAATTCTTACTAAGCTACGGGTCGGACGATCCGATTCGATTACCGGCAGGTGTAAAAAGGTTTCTTTTCGTCGCCAAGTCCAAACCGACTCTGATCCCAGAAATGGGCAGAGAGGACTGTTTCCCCCGGGGGAGTAAAGCGACTGGGGCCTAGTGTCGATGTTAAGAATGTGTGGAGCTATACCTCCATTCCACTTTTTTACTGGGCGTACTTTACTCTACTCAGCAGCTACATGGTACAGACGTTAAGGCTCCTGCTCACACTACTTGCTACTCTCTCTCACGAGGAATGAAGACAGCGAGCAGAGAGGGACGTCAGTCGGCAAGCAGCTGCTGTGGACAGCAGAGCGCCATCCTCTATATCTACCGCGGCACCACAACGCAATTCGTAAGGTCATGGGCAGGGAAAACACCCACAGAAGCAAGAAATATAAAAATCTCGAAACATTTCTATATAAACAACGTTGCACGTGCAGTGAATAAAGCAGCGTAGAAATAGAAATGTTATTTTCGTCGTGGAAAATACTGGTTTATTGTGTTTTAATACGATTTATTAAGAAATTATAAAATGTTGATCGAACAAATACTGAGTTGTGTCACACAGGAATGGAAACAAGAGTAATAAATCAATTCATGAATAAAAATTACAGTTTTTATTAGGAGCAAACGTAATATATTAGTTTTCCTTAACTGCATATTAATATTCTCAGATAAGAACAGTGACAGTTACCTAAGAAATAAATGACATGAAATGTTTCAGAAAAGATAAACAGTTAAATTAAAAAGTGTTGAACGTACTGCGAAAATGACCTAAGTAAGTAGCTGCTTGAGGATACTGTTTGCAAAGATCGCATAAACATTATCTAAATTTACGAGTGTAAACGACCTGAGTGACAATGTGAGGTGTGTTGCGTAATGTGGACTACAATTGTCGTAGTAAAGCAACACAAATAATCTGAATGTGCTCCCGATCTGACACGTAGACGGATTTGGTGACAACGTTTTTGCAAGAGGGGTAACGTACGTATCAAGTGGTGATGATTAGTGTTGGTGAACGAGAGTGATACATCAACCCACATCTCTCAGCAACCGAATCAACGAGGATATCTTCGCCGCAACGCGAAAAGTTTCTTTTCACTCCGAATACAGTTCCTTGATAGAAACGCGCCTCTGTCCGGAATGGCACTGCGAACTGCCTCAGTTCAATATAGGCCAGAGTTTAGCAACGTATTCCGTTTCTCATACTCGTTCCATTTACTATTCTAGACCCATATTTTTAATTTGAGGACAACCACTCATTTGTGCCAACTTCAATTTCTTTCATTTTATTTCGTGAACTTCATTTCCATACTACAATTTTGAAGTCTGTAAAATACTATTTTTCTGCGTCCATTTAATTTCGTAAAGTGACATAATTCGAAAGAACAAGCATGAAATATTTTGTCCTATAACCACCTCATTCTTCTATAACTACACCATAAAGAAAGAACCGCGTATGTTTAATCAAAAACACATAAACATTTTAATCTTCAATATAATACGCGATATTTTATCTTAACTGTAGCGTTTATAACACTATATTACTTCTTCTTCATTCACATCTTAGCATAAACTACGAAATTGTCACGTATCTTCTACATATACGAGGTAATACCACATCATCCAAATATTTAATTTCCAATATTTAAATTTTCTGAATATTTTAATACTTTCAGTTTATTGATACTTCTCAAATTTCAGCTCACTGATGTAGAATGTACTATTAAATAATGACATGTTTAATTATTACGTCTATAAATTCGCTAAATTGCTAAGGCACCACAAGCATACAAGTAAATGTCATAAACGTTTACTGTACCCTTAAACCTGCCAGTAACTACTAATCATTTTCACATCCTCAAATACTACAAAATCAAACTTAGTTCCTCTAACCGAAACAAATTATCCACTGTGAGCTAATACATTCCGAGCAGGCATATAAAAATATAATCAAGGATACCAAAGCACTTAATTGATCGTGTCTGGCAGGATAACAATTCATGGAACTAACTTATTATTTAGACAGTTTACAAAACAAATAAGGCACGACAAAACAATTACTGTGTTTTACGACGAATAGATTTATACAGTGGTTCGTTCTCTGTACTTTAATTAGTGACATTTAGAACAATTTATTACTGGTCGCTAAGCATTAGACAAAACTCCTGCATTTATTACTGAAGAATCTTCAAGAACATTTGTACGATGTGAGTGACTTGTGCAGTGTTATTTGCGTTACTCGCAGTAGCTGAAGTGCCATCTTCGAATGGACAAAACTGGAGGAAAAAGCTGAAGGCAGAATAAGAAATGGACAGAGGATTATTAAAGGGTAAGTTTTTTTGAAACGAATGAGATATTGTTATATCACAATATATAATTCCTTCCGCGTTTTCGTCTTACCGCAGTTAATGCTTTTGAGCATGTGTACGAATAATTACAGACACACAATGTATGACGGAAACAAGACATGACTAGAAATGTTCAACGGGATGATTTTCAGAATAAGGCTTTTAAAACGAAAGCTTTCTGGACAGGGACGAGGGAAGAGTGTGCGTACAGACCTTTCATTTGTACTCAGATGTCATCGTCCACATCCACCCACGTTAATATTTCACAAACCAAAATGTCACTCCATAAACAGCAAGACAGAGGCACATTATGCCAAGAGTATAACAATGTTTTCTTTATTCATTTGACGACAGAGAGTTCTGAGGTAACATCTCTTTTATTCAGAGTTTCAGAGAACATTTTAAAACCCATATTTTAAGAAACTACAGAGGACTGAGACACAGATAATTATTTCTGCGAAGTGACGAGTTACTATTTTACATGAATTATTATTCTAGATCAAACATCAAAGAATATGCCAATTCAATTTGAATAAAATTTCATATAAAATATCTCCGGATCTGATTCTGAATGACAGTGCGTCCTAAATGAGAACATTTCTCAGGTTCAGTTCTCTGTGGAATATTTACGGAAATTCACAGCAACAGAATAATACTACTTTTTAAATGAAAAGTAACATGCTAATACAGCATTAGTTAACCAAAAAGTGTGCTAGTATTTTATAAAATATCATAATGCAGAAAGCACCCGCAATGTTTGCTGTAAGATCAAAGTATTAAAATAAGATACGCTCAATGAAAATCAAAACTGCAAATTTTTTGTACTCTGTATTCTGTAATCTTGTTTCAACGAAGTTTCTGCGAAAACAGATTACCACACAATTTGAGCATTCGAACAATATTTCAGCAGAAGTGAATGTAGCATTATAATTTACTTTGTTGGCATTCTGATAGCCTAAGTTATCCTGTATAATATATAATATTAGAACTGGAATTTTGGGTTTTAGGATCACATCACTAGTTAGAGCCGTTAACTGCTACTTACAGTGTGTAGACAATCACAAATAGGGTGCAACCGTTTGTATCATTACCAGATACGAAGGAAAAAGTTAGAAGTTATGGTCCGATGAAATACGTCGGAGGTTTAAGAATGCGAGACTCTGGAACCGTTAGCTGATTGCTCAATACATATACACTACGTAGCATCTTCATGGCTGAAGGCGATTCGTTCAGGCCTACACAAGATAGAAATGTGTCGTTATATAAATCTATAGGCCTAAAGCCCAACGCTTCCACTTTTTCATGGCACAATTTATTTAGTTGTATTTATTTATGCTTATCCTCACTCTTACTATTGACAGGGAGATGAAAAATGAGTACAAAACTTTGATTGAAATTCTTGAACGAAAGAGATCACTTTGAAGACCTAAGCCCAGACGAAAGGCGCAGTAGGGCGTAGACTGGGTTATTCTGTTTCAGGATAGGTTTGAGAGAGAGCGTTAGAAATAAACTACGACTTATGAAAAGGTTTTAGTGGAAAATACAAATAAAATAAGGTTTAAAGGAACGCACTGAAGATAGGGAACGACTTTCGAAGAGGTTTGAAGGAACGCATAGCGCCCCAAGGGAATATAAACCGATACGCTGTATTAAAATAGGACAAGCTACTTGGGCGTGTGACAATCAAACACCCAACAAAGAAACGTTAGTCTGAATGCCAGAATAGACAAGAAAAAATGGAGGTTCCGTTAAATGCGTATTGTTCATTCGAATGAACGTGCTTATACCCTACATTCCAGTGAGGCCTTGTCTTAATGGCACCTGTTTGTACAATGCGAGCTGTCTGCTTATGACTGATGCATGTGCATAACGAACTGCGAAGTAATCAAATTAAAAAAATTTCAATTTGTAGACATTCAGTCCTAACCAAATTAATAAATCGTGTCTAGTCGTAACCTAGGAACAATACGCAGTCACCATGACGGTTTAAACCGTAGGCTATCAACATGTAACCCACCGAAATCTTTTGTTCGGAAAACGTACTTTTTAAATATTGTATAATTTTTATAATAAAATTGAGTTACCGATTAAACTGAATATTTTAAATCTTAAATAAATGACTAATAGAAGGAAAATATTAAAAATTGTTAAAGGAAATTATTGAGTATTAAGTTACGTGAACCTGTTTGTGATAGTAAGTAGCATGTTTTAATAGGTTTCAGTCAAGTGTCCTCACTTATAGGCCGGTGGCCTGGGAGCCAATACAAAATGGCAAATGTCGCCCCAGGTCTCAGTAGATTGAGAACCGTGGTTAAGTGGCATATTGCCTGGCTGTTATTTGCTGTAGTTTTTTGTATTTTGAATCTCCTGTGAATCTGGTATGGAACAGATGTATAAACTGCTACCAAACATATCCCTTTTCAAAATTTGCTCTCTTCTTTTATGGTATCTAAAAATATACAGAATAAAACACGCACACTACAATTTTACCTGTTGTTTTGTATGGGTGTAAAAGTGGAAGGAACATAGACTAAGAATGTTTGAGAACAACGTGTTAAGGAAAATATTTGGATGGGAGAGGACATGACAGGAGACAGAGAATATTACTAAATGGCAAGCTTCATAGACATGTCGAGGACAATACAGGCGGGGCATTTATAAGGCACGGCGAAGACGAGACATTCGTAAAAAATGTTAGCTAGAAAACCTGAACGGAAAAGACCACTTAGGATTCCGAGCGCAAAGACGAAGGATAATATTAAAACTAACAGAAATGACATAAAGGGCTGAGCACGTGGACTCAATTTCACTGGTTGGGGACGGGGTACAGGCGGCTTGCAGGCACTTTTAAAACGCTTTTGGGTACAACATGGAAATAAGGAGTAACAACGGTTCAATGACTTGAGAAACTGTTTCTCACTTTGTCTCTGCTTATCTGCGTAATAAAACATGTATGGCACTATACTGGCTGCAAGTAACGGGACAGAAGAGATCATGACAGCGACTTGATGCTGTGGCGTTTGAATACAAGCAGACCTACATCGTACGGTGTGTAATTGCCATCTTAAATTTTCCTAACTTAACTAGATAATCTCACCAATACTGAGAAATCTAGGCCCACGTATCCCGACACACGTTATAATAACCCAAAGCTGCACTTCGGGCCGACTAAAGTAAAAACGTGGCTGTCTTCTGTACACAGACAGAACATTTTATATGCTGAACATTTCTAGCATTATTTCATCTGTAAATTTCTAAGGCAAATTATAATTTGTACTACACTGTTCACACAGTGCAACTGGATGACCTGACCTCTAAAAAGAACACAGTAATTTCTTGTAATTCATACATCACACATCACTGGATTCGGTGTGATTTATCACGTTCGTAGCACTGAAGGGTTTAAAATTTTCAAACCCTAAACGACCAATTATCCGGGATAGGACAATGAAGAAGGAAGATGAGGAACAACACGAAACAAAACAGGAAGAAGGAGAATAATAGAATAAGATGATGAGCAAGAAGGAAGATAATGATATAATGATGCAAAGAAAGAAAGGAAAGGGTGAAATAAGATTATCTAGAAGGACAGAAGTAAGACACGAAAACCGTATTGTTGGGTCCCATGTTAATGTGCTGATCCGAAATCAGTCACTCCACAAAACTGTCCTGCTTAAAATGACTTGCCTTTGAAAGGGCCATATATTTGTAAGCATCGTATATTCTTGTTTGATCTTCCTCTTGAAAATATGCTAATGTATGTCACAAGATACTTTGGCTTACAGGTTATTGACAACTAAGCCGTAAACGAGTTGGTCCAATCTGGCAAATTTCCAGACAGCATTTTGCAAAAGTACTCCTTTCAGCTTGCATTACAATTCGACGAAATATATGTTCTGAGAAGTTACCAGATGAAATCAGCCTCTTAATAAAGTAAATACCGGTTAAAATACGATAAAATTCTTAACTGTAATTCAAGCATCCACAAATTTATTGTCTTAGTATGAAACCCTGTTAAATGGAAGGCTGAAACTTTTTTCTTCAGCAGTTAACGTTAGAGCAATAAATTCCCAGCTTTTTAGGGAACCAGAACCTGATTCACTATGTCCACGGAAGCCCACGAATGAGCCAGATTAAACCAGACCACCGCTCACATCCCACTTCTTCAAAATCAGTTTTAAAATTGTCCCTGTGGTCTGCATCTAGGCGCCCCAAGTGGTCTAGTTCCCGCAGTTTTTTCAACTACAATTTTGTAAGCCCCAAACATTTCTCATTTCTGCGTAACAAATATTCGACTCATTTCTGTCCCTTGATATGACTATCCTAATTATATACAACGAAGAACACAAATTATGAAGCTCCTATCCCTGAAATTTTCTCCATTCTTGTCACTCATGTCTCTCTGGTACATTCTGTTGTGTAACATCCTCGTCCTATGTTCTTTCACCCAACATCGTGGCACAAAGGTCAGTCAGCACCTTTGTTTTGTATTCGGGGGCTATCTTGTCGGGTCTGTGGCTTTCCTAACACAGATAATCGAGATATTACTCAGTCTTTTCTGCAAAATTCTGGACTGGTCCTGTAAGAGTCCACTGTGGCTTCATTCCTATTTCATTATTTATAATAATTTCTCAGTCGGTACTAATTAACCAAAGCAGTTGAAACTCAGTCGTTAAATAAAAGCAAAAACTAACCAAAAACAAAAAGCATGTGGTGTGGAGATTTGAAACAGTTTCTGTATTGTAACTATATTAAGTTGTGGGTGACGTATGGAGAGACTCGGTTAATTCGTGGGTGGCCAAAACAATGGGTCTGTTGACCGCAATGCATGACGACAGAACTGTAATGTGGTCAGTAAAAACACGAAAGTAGCATCCACCAGTTGGCAATGCTTAACAGTTACAGCACAACAAACATTTCACTTGCCTAGATTAATAGAACATGAAATTAAACAACAAGTAAGTACCTCCCAAATCTCGTA